AGATAGATAGATAGATAGATAGATAGATAGATAGATAGATAGATAGATAGATAGATAGATAGATAGATAGATAGACAGACAGATAGACAGACAGACAGACAGACAGACAGACAGAATAATATAATATAATATAATATAATATAATATAATATAATATAATATAATATAATATAATATAATATAGATAGATAGATAGATAATATAAATAGGTAAAGTAAAAGTATCTCTCTCCCGGTTTATTACATTCTTTAGGATCTAAACACAGGCATAAGGATCCATCTTTTTCGTCTAAGGACTAGCCTGTAAACCCATGCTGTTGGAGTAGTAACCTGAGCTATAACTCATGATGCCTCTAAACTGTCTGTAGTTGCTTTAAATTCATGAGGATAATGAGAGCAATATTTTGACAGCCATGAACTCCTGGGAAACTCCAGCATCTCTGTGTATGTGATATACATCAAGAAAGGACTTCAGACCTTCAACAACATCTGGGTGTTGCTTCAACATAACCTCCTTAGTAGCTAAGGGTGGCACAGTGATGTTTAGAACTTCAAACAAGTTCTGCATGCTGTACTGCCTCCTCTTTTAACAACATCGAAATCCAATCTATGTTTTTTGCATACCTATGTAGCAGTGTGTTGTGGCCACAGTTTCCAATTTAGTACACTCCACACCAACTGCCACCATTTTCACCAAGGGATGCCTACTTTGTAACCATCCTGGCAGTGATTTTACTATCTTCTGAAGAAAACCATAGCTTCAGCTCCTGTATATATCTTGAACAACAGTGCCATTCTAGCTGCAAATATTGTGACACGCTATGGACTTTTGCTGTTCTATGGTTCTGAATATAATGCCTCAGCAAAGAATATACTTAACTCTTTTGTCTGACTGAGACTTGCTTTGTTGCATATACTTTTGCAAAGGGATGTGTGTCAGAACATAATACATAGCACTAAATGCTGGTCAATTTTTTGGGTGTGAACCGTTCTATAATACCTGCACATAAACTGACATAACTGTCATTTCTGTTAGAGCCTACAAGCTATTGACTTAACTAGAACATGTCAGACTTTTGCAGCCTATGAGATGTCTTTGCGAAGCCGTGTTAACCTGCAATGCATACATCTCCTTCCCAGAGGCACCCAACAGTTGCATCTGAGATGTCAAGACTTCCTCTGTTCTATCTACAGTATGCCTACCACTTTAGCCAGAGTTAAATCAGAATCTCTCAACCATCTTTATTTCCATGTGGCTGAACACAGGTCGCCTGCAATCTTGCCTTTGATAAGTGGCTCACAGAGTTCTACAAATTCACATGTTTCAGAAGGTCTTTTTACTCCCTAACATATGAATCAACACTCGTTGTGCTCCTTGAGTTCTGCTAAAGAACCTGTGTTTCTCAAAAGTAATGCTTCTCCTGGGTACAAAAAATGCAGCAGCAGACTTTTCTATTATTATTTGCAGTTTTTGCTTATCTGCCTCCTGTGAAAACTGAAACATGTCGTAAATCTCCCGTGCCTCTTTGCCAGCAAGATGCAGAAACAAAGCACACTGAAGTCATTCCTCTTTCCACTCCGACCCACTAGCAATCGCAAGCAACTGAAATGCCTGGAGCCATTTGCACCAAATCTCTGCAATGCTTCTTGCTGTTACAAGGATGCTGGAGGTAAAAGAGAGGCTATTTAGAGTTAACTCACTTCTGATACCATCTAACATTTGTTGGCCCAAAACATCCCCGGAGCTCTACTTTGAATCCACAGATTCACAATCAAATCATCTCAGATGGTAAACAGTCCTTTATCCACAGGAAGACAGCCAAGTATACACAGCAACCCTACGCATAAAACAACAGTGAATACCCTGCAGAAAGGAATACCAACAATAGATAATAAATTACACTTATTAAAGGCAGCTGTCCAACAGGCATTTGCTAACTAGCAACTCTCCTTAGGGGTATACTATGCATATGCCATCCTTATCTATGGCATGACTATGGATACATGGTCTTCAATTTGCCAACAAGCGGAGATATAAGTGAAATATTACTAAAACCAAGATTGTACTTCCCATGATTATTCTCATGACCAATGCAAACTATGTTCATCAGCCGTATATCATAATATTCCATGTATTTGGTGATCACCATCGTTCCAGCTTGAGGCACACAAGAGAATATTCAGTTCACTTAATTTAATTTAATTTGATTTAATTTAATTTAATTTAATTAATTTAAGGTTTATCATGCATACTGAATGAGGTGTATTTTAGGGTGTACTACACAAGCTTGCCTTAGAGTAAATGCTGGTTTGACATGTTGGGGAAGATGCTGTGCCACACTGAAATTGGATAATTTCACCATCACTTGTACATTTATCCTGGACACCATCATTCAGAAGGAGAGGGGAAGATGAACAGAGGTCAAGAATCTACAGTAAGCCCCTGACTGGATCCTTGGGTTTGGGATACATCTAATAATGTCAGTTGTTCTGCTCCATGTAAATAGTTTTGTTTGTTTGCTTTACATTGCTTTCTATTTGTAAGAATCCTGCTTTAAAGATGTTAGAATTGCATCATTTCTGTCTCCAGCTGTTTGTTCATAAGTATATTTTGTTATTATGTTAGCATTTTCAATGATTCTGTGCACGTTTATATCATTCAACCCAGACACACCAAGAAAAAAATGGATAGGCTCTGAAGCTCATTAGTGGGTTGGATAACACCATTTGAAGCAAATCCAGTCAGATCTCAAGGATGGCAATCCGTTCATGACTATCATTTACCAATTGATTCTCTTATCAGTATCATCCCATGAAAAGTTGCAATCTTTGCCATAGCCTCATTGAAGTGGCCTGTCTGCATCTCATCAAACTGCTGCTATTTTTGTTTTACACTAGTATAAATCAACTGACCTCTGTTGGGCTTCTCCCAATTTCTTCCTTCATCTAGAAATATCGATTCAGACTGATTATGAAAATTCAATACCAATCATGACTTGGAGACAATTCAGTGACATCGCTTATACTCTTACAGTACTTCTTTATAGCTTTTAACTTAATGAAATTTACAAGGGCAGTTGGAAAAACAGCTCTCATTGATTTTGAAATGAGAAAATGAAAACTACTTCTCACTTTTTTGACTTGCCACAAATGTTTATGATCAATGTTTTGTATTACAGACAAGAACACCTTTTGCAGGTAGCACTGATATATTTACAAAGCTGAAAACTGTCAATCCTGCTCATCTAACCCTGTATATATTGTGCCTTATGCCAGTCCCATATAATTCACTGGCTTTTGATAGTTTTCATTTTACTGCTTGCTAAATAGCCAGTTAAACTCTTGGATCACCAGACAAGCTTGAACTATATGCTGACTATCTCTGTTTATTGGCAATGCTAGAGGGGACTAAGGCAGCTGGGAGACCAGTAACATTTGAAGACGGAAGGTTTAATTTACATAGAATATAACAACACAAAATGAATCATTCACGGAATTCTATTACAGTAAACTGGGGTGCTCTCCTCAATTAGATTCTATCATTACAAGATCAGCTACCGTACGTGAAGTCTTCTAGTATTCGCCATTTGAAAGTCTGAAATATTCTGGACAGATTTGCAAGAAGAGGTTTTGGGATGGGGGCTATGAAATTGTATTAAAAGCAGTGTAGAGAAAACTGTATCCAAACTCTATTTGTCAGAGAAAGTTGCATTTGACCACAGGGAATTTGTTATATTATTTTTTTTTAAATGCAAAAAAAAAAAAAAAAAAAGGAATAGAACAGCAAAGAAATAAATATAATTCTGACATGGGCTGGGTTTTGACTGAATCACATTTCCCTAGGACACCCCATTCAATGCATATTTACTTTAAAGTATGTCCTAGTGAAAAGACTTATTCTTCCTTAAGTAAATACACATGTGCAAAGCCTTGTTTTGTTAATTGCAATTGGATTAGCTGCAGTTAATTCCAAATGTTTTTGTTGAATCAACACCGTGAACATAACAATACACCATCTACTTACCATAACATTGTATTATCATCAGAAAGTAACCCACAGGTTACCTGAAGATCTTTATGTGTATCATTTGTTAAACTGCAGCACCACTTAGAATCCTAATGGGTTTATGCATTCACAGGAACAGTATGTTTTGTCTTGTGCAATATGTAGCTATGAGATCTGGTCAGGAAGGATCTGGACAGCCACTGGTGGCAGTAACAATATGCAGAAAACTCTAACCCTTTGCTTCCAGATCTCAGAGCCCAGTAAGGAAATAAATAATAAATGTAAGCTGAAAGTGCATCAAACCATCCATACAGACATAAAGAAGGAAGAAAGGCACTAAAACCTTTTTCAGAAAGAAGATTGTATCCTTCTTTGAATTCATTAAGACATGTAATATTTAGAATAGACATTCCACATGCATGAATTACTGAGTTGCATTGGTGTGTGTTCTGTAGGTTTTGATACCTATTACATTTATTTCCTCTTGATAGATGAGATCCATATTAGTTCTCATCCTCTTCCTAAAGAAATTACAGAACTCATTTCTCCACTAAAATCCAGTCTTGATGTTCTTTAAATAATAAACTCTTTGTCCCTGTTGATCCAATGCTAACCATGATGCCTGACAAGTAATTTTAAAAGTTTCCTACCTTGAATTATATCTATAGCAAAGTGGCTTGATAGAATTGTGGTTAGAGCACCACCCTGTGACATGGGAGACCAGAGTTCAAATTCTGGCTAGTACCTACCATACCAGTCCTTGGGCAAAGACCCCATAATGCTTCACCTGCCTACCTTGAATATGA